TGTCAATGATTGGACCACTGTTATAGCCGAACATGTCTTTCAGAATGTTTGCTATAAATAACTTTTTATTATTGATTATACAGTGGAATCCTGTTATAACGAGAGGGACGGGACGGTGCGAAATGTCCGTTATAGCAGGATTCTCGCTATAATGGATCCAGTAATAAATTCAAGGGAAATGGTAAAGTAGGCCTAGTCTATGAATTTAGTGTTCTGTTTATTCCTTTTTGTACTTCCCCTAAAGATGATTTTGTTCAACATGATCTCTAAGTCTTACTCTTACTTAATTAAAAATCGAATCAGGTTTCTTTCTCTAGCACTAACAATGTTGACAGCTCAACGTTGGCAATCAGAAAAAAGGGGCTCTGACTCCAGGCAAACTACTCGCCCGCTGTGTTGCCCCTCACTCCACCGCACCCTCTGGTGCGTTGGGTCTGCTTGCGCCCGTCACACATTCACTCCATCTATCACAACATTGTGGCCTCTCCATCCCGCACCAGAGAAGTGAGAGGGACAGTAGGCCTAGATAATCTAGACTGCGCTGGCCTATCAGTATCACGCGATGCATTCTGCGTGTCTGCGCGTGCCACACCCTCCCCTCTCATTCCCTCAATTCTTTGTTGGTTCGCGTGGACTCTCCCATTCTTTTTTTCCCTGGATCACAAACAACTTTCTCAACTGGCGATGTTTAATAGGTCTGTGCGCTGTGCACAGCAGCAGCAATATTCAGTTATAACCGACTGGCGTGTTTGTCTGATTGCGCAATAGCAGTATTTTATTTACAAAGATAAAGAAGGGAAAAAACGGGGTTTTAGAATAGTGTCTTTATAACAGACTTCTCGTTGTTTCAGGACTCGTTATATGTGGACTCCACTGTAAAAGGTCAGATTCATGGATTTCCTGCCTTGGCTGGAATCCTGTTATAAGCTTTGACTGATATGAATTGGGGGCCACTTTACCTCGTCTTTATCAAACAAACATGTCGTGAGGGACTCGGGACCAACGTAACAGTTTGCCCTGTCAGCTGGCCCAAACGTTACGTTGATTCCTTGCGCAGTTTTGCCACATGAATGAACTCAAACTAATCTTATCTAAGCAACTGACGATCGGTCGACGGGGTGGTGTGTGTGGGGGGGAGGGGGGGGCATTGTTAATGCGTGAGGTACTCGTAGGTCATTCTCTGCTTTGGTTTATGGAGTGTGACCTATCATATGCACTGCTTCATTTTGGGTACCCAATCAGCGACCCCTTTACAGACGCCAATACACCAATGCTGGCTTCTGCTCCAGTTGAATGTAAATTTATATACATATGTATATATATTTTTTTTTTTTATATATACATATGTATATATATATATACATATTTATATATGTATACATATATATATATATATATATATATATATATATATATATATATATATATATGTATATATATATATATATTCTGCGTGTATGTGTGTATGTGTATGTGTATGTGTTTGTGTGCGTATATATATATATATATATGGTTCCGTTCCTGGGCTGGGTGAAGTGAGTTGCTGCAGAGAAGAACTGAACAGCTTGTCTTGCAAGCAGCCCCAATGCATTTTCCTCGAAATTCATATCACGCCATTGGACCACTCAAACTGTTAGTGAGATTGACAGGATGCGCTTTAGGGGAGGAGAAAAAGAAAAGACGGAGAGGACGGGTACTAAAATCTCTCCATTTCCCTCTCACGTTTCCCCCCTGTCTCTTTTTCCTACTCATCTCTCTATTTCTCTCTCTCTCTCTCTCTCTCTCTCTCTCTCTCTCTCTCTCTCTCTCTCTCTCTCTCTCTCTCTCTCTCTTTCTCTCTCTCTCTCTCTCTCTTTCTTTCTTTCTTTCTCTCTCTCTCACTCTCTCTTTCTCTCTCTTTCTCGCTCTTTCTCGCTCTGTGTGTATGTGTGTGTGTGTGTGTGTGTGTGTGTGTGTGTGTGTGTGTGTGTGTGTGT